ATCGTGAGATGGATCTTCGAATGAAGGGTCAAACCCAGCCCCTGAGCCTTTAATCATCTTCGCAGACAGGTGATTGCCCACTCATTAGACAGAAAGTGTCTTCTCTAATCAACTGCTGGTTTAGTGAAGATCTCACTGAAATATAGACCAGCTGACAAAAGTCACTAATAAAAGAGCCCACCCATGTCGAAGGCAAGTGGGTCCTCTGCAATGCTACAGTCATCCAGTGATGGCAAATGGCTGGTGGCCTACAGCAGAGGACCCCGTGCTACGGGCTGAACATGTGGGACTTCTAGCCACAGAGTGCACCACCCCAAGATTTACTGAATAGTGTCTGTACATAGGCTCATGGCTGTCACTAATAGCTGAGCTGTATGGTCAGGTCTTTGGGTCACGCAGGACTGGACTAGTAAGACACACCATATATTGGTTGTACTCCTCATGGAATCATATAACTATTTTAGGCTCAATCGTTATGTTATATAAATGGTATATAAAGGAACTACATTCTAGAGAAAAGTGTTTGGACAAACGTGGAAAAAGCAAACTAAGTGTCCACTGTCTCTACTACGGTTCAATGGACCGCGCTCAAACCCATCATGATTATGGAACAACCATAAAGGATTGAGATGCCAAAGGAGGAACAGGTCCTAACTGCATGGACTTGCCAGCTCTTCAGTGATGATTTCCATGGAGCCACCTGTTCTGTCTTTATCTATTTACAAGTTGCACAAGGTGACAATCTCCTCTGCTTACTGGAGCTCCTAGGAACTCAGGGGTTTTTACACCTGCTTTGACCTCAACAAATGAATGGATGGATGGTTCATTTTGTTCAGATCAATGTCGATACATAAACTTGGACGCTCTGTCCCAGGTAGTCTACGGCCACCCTCCTCTGGCCACTTTCTATGATAACCAAGTAGGTCAGAAAAGAGGACAATCTGGCTCGTCCCTGGTAGATGACAGCTCTCAACTGGTTAGGTGTGAACTTGTCTGACTCAGAAAACACATGGAAGCCAAGGGTAGGTTAACTCTCTCTTTTCCTATTATAATTATGAACAAACAGTCCCAAATATCCTTCCACTACTCTATTAATTCCCATGATGTTGAACATATCGCCATCTTCTAACCCATTTACGGAGATAGAGTTTCAGTCTCAGGGCCTTTCCCTGGTCTGCATGTACTGACATTGCTAGGGATGTGGTTTGCTTCCTTAGTGTGAGGATTCACTTTTTCATTTCTAGAAAATGCTCATTTGCTTTTTACTTAGAAAGTGGCTTTCCTTATTCCCTGTCTGGATCTTGCTTCCCTATTAGGTGGGTATGGGATTGTCTCATTTCATCCTCTCTAACATTTAACCTCTCTTTAATACTTTCTACTTCTGCATCTCTCTCTGCTGTATTCTGGATGGTAGCCTCAAACACTAATTTTTTCCTTAAGCAGTATTTAATCTGTTCGTTGAATTTTAACTCTCCTGTGCTCTTTAGCACCCACAAGACTGGCAGCTGATTTTTCAAAAGAAACTATGCAGGGCAGAAGGACTTGGCAAAAAATATTCGACAGGATGAAGACCCAGGATATACAACCAAGAATAATTTATTCAGCAAAGCTATCATTTAGAGATGAAGGACAGATAAAGAGCTTCTCAGACAAAAATAATCTAAAGGAATTTATCACCGCCAAGCCAGTATTACAGGGAATATTGGAGGGACTTTTTGAAGAAGAAAAAACGTGTATCAAAAACAGGAATAAAGAATGGTAATAACTACATTCCTATCAATAAATACCTTAAATGGAAAAGAATTACGTGCTCCAACCAAAAGATTGAATGGCTGAAAGGATAAGAAAACAAGACCCCTACATATGAAAAGGAAGGGGATGGAAAAAGATATTGCTTTCATGAACCTAGAAGGTATTTAAGTCAGACAGAGAAAGATAAACTATATGATTTCACTTATGTGCAGAATCTAAGGAATAAAAAGAACAAACTAATCAAAAACAAACTCACAAATATAGGGGACAATCTGGTGATGGCCAAAGGGTTGGGGAGTTGGGGGGCTGAGAGAAAGGAGTGAAAGGTTAAAGAAGTACAAATTAGAAGTTGAAGATGGTCACAGGGATGGGGAGCACGGCATAAAGAATGCAGTTAACGTTAATGTAATGGCTAGGTCAGAGGAGAGAAAGAGCAATTAGGGGGATCGTTTGTAAACCACATAAATGTCTAACCAATGTACTGTATACTTGAAACTAAATTAAAAAATAATTTAAAAAATTTATAGTAAAAAGTGTCTTCCATCCAATTGTACTATAAACCTAAAACTGCTCTAAAAAGTCTTTAAAGTAAAAAAAAAAAAGTGTCAAGAATAGAACAGAACAATTTTGAACTTGCCCTACCAGATACCAAGATTTTATCAAGGCTCGTGATATTAGCAAAGGTATAGAAAAACAGGCTAAGAAAGTCAGCACCAGACCCATGCATATACATAAACTTGATCAGTGACACAGGCAATGTTGTCTATCAGAGAAGGTGTCACATGCTGAAACAATAAATCCAATGGTACAAGGTACTCACACAAAAATCAAAGCAGAATCAAGTACTAAATACAAAATGCAAATCTTTAAACATTTTAGAGAGCAGAAAACATCTCTGACCTTGTGGTAACCACAGAAGCAAAGTTAAAATATAAATTACAGACTGCAAGAAGTTATTTCCAAAACATATTAACAAAGGATAATATCCATAATATGTTGAGAACTTGCAGATGAGAAAAACAATATGAAAAAAAAAAGGCAAAGAATATAAACAAACAACTCACAGATGGGTGGATGCCTATAAGGTCAACGAGCAAATGAAAAGATGATCAGGCTCACCAGGAACATGGGACATGTAAAATAAAACGAAAGACCAAACGGCAAAACTGTTAAGTTGAAGTATCAAGGAGAAGACAAGAGTGGAGAAACGAGCACTCTCCCACACTGCCGATGAGAACATGAACTGGTTCTACTGCTCTGGAGACCCACTTGGAAATATTTAGCTATGTTGAAATCACATATACCCTCTGACCCAATAATTTTATTTCTAAGTACACACCCAACGTATAAACTCTGGCACATGGGCAGAGATGTTCAAGTATGTTTGTTCCCTGTGACACTCGTTGATATAGTCAAAAACAAAATCACATTAAAATTTTTCTGTCAACAGGGGAATGAGAAGTAAATTGTGGCATAGTCATACAATGGAATACCAAATCATACTTAAAAGGAATGAACTAGAATTAATATATTAGATACATTTCAAAATACTGATTGAAAGAACAAGCTATGAAAGGATGCATATAGCACAACTATCATGCGAAACACGGATTACAGATGCACCTACATATACATAATACAGACAAAAAAACAGACAAGAAAGATGTCCACCAAATTATAGATAGCGTTCACTTTCGGGAAAGGAAAGCGAGTAAGATTAGAGGTGGTGGTACTTTAAAAGTATAACTTCATTTTCTTTTTAAAACAAGAGCCCTTAAAGCAAATATGGCAAAATGTTATGATCTACTAAAGCTGAGTGGTGTCTACAACAGGTGTTATCCTCTGTCCACTGCTTGACATATTTTAAAAATTAAAAATTAAAAATTGAAATTAAAAGGAGCTAAATGCAAAAATATCAGGGTAAGAACAATACTCCCCACCTTTTATTAAACCAATTTTTAATGATACACATTACTTGTAGAATTATAACTTAGTCTAAAAAAAACCTGTTAATTTTTCTATTTTAAATTGTTTTGAGGGTAGTCAGACCTACAAAAAGGTCTTACAGTGGGAGTTTTATTTCTCCTAGCTGGGGCACAAACCCTTAATATGCTTATGACAGACACTGTTGGTCCCCAACCCAATGGCCCTTTCTCTAGCTAACAGAACCAATTTTGTTCAGTATCAGAAGGCTAGCTGCTTCAAAGGGTGTTGACAGCCTAAGAGGAGGAATCTTGATTATTTCCTGCCAATTAGAGTAATTCCATTCTCTACATCAATAAGTGATTTAGAAATGGACACGTAATGTCTAGTTCTAGTAAGCAAGTAGGTGAAGTCCACCAAGGGGCTTCTGTGAAAACGGAACAGCTTAAAGAGAAACAGGAGAACACACAGGCTCCTCTCTTCTGGCCTTCAAACGCTGTCGTGCAAACGATGATGCCTGGAGATGCTGCCACAATCTCGCTATACCGGAAGGGTCAATCCTGAGGACCAAAACTCACAGCAGAAGGTGGAGAGGCAGAAAACCATGGGAAAAGCCTGGGTCCCTGAGGACAGCACTAAGCCACTGAATCTACCAGTCATGGAACTGTCGTACTTCCTGGGAAGTAAATCTGCTTTATTGTTTAAGACCCAGTTAATTAGGTTTTCTGCTCCTTGCACTTAACTGCATATTGATACAGTGCTCTTTATCAAAACAAAACATAAAATTCTGAAGAATGTACAAATTCCAGTGAGTTCTTGATGACTATAAAGACCTTGTTATTCTCTATAGGCTGGAGGCAGGAATTTTGCAAACTACACAAATAGTTGTGGTTTTACCAGAACCACGCTAGTTTTGCTTCACATTTTCCCAATCATTGAACAGTCCAAAAGAATTTGCCGATTTTGTTTTTAGCATTGCTGGCCGCATCGAGAAATGTGTCGGAGAGTCCAAATTTGATTCTTTGCAAGTATTGAAAGTCGTTTAGTCCATAACATTCCTTTATAACTCTTCATCCATAGCTTCCTAAAATTGTTTGAAAGTATATTCCAACTTGCCAACAAGAGGGACAGCCCGTGGGTAGGAACTGGGTTTGTTTCTTTTCTGCCCATGCCCCACACCTGGGTAGATCCACAGTCGAGGATTCTGTATACATTCTGAATGTCGAGGTGTACTCACCACGGTTACAGAACCACCTCCTAGAACTCTGGAGAAAGTTTGCTTCTAAATATCACGCTTCTGTAGTAAGTTAACAACTACAAAGGCATGGACAGTAATATGGATTTATTTAAAGACTAAAAAATTTGACATTGAGAGAGATAAAAAAAGACCCACAGGATTTAAACTGATAAATACAAAAACGATTGGCTATAAACAATGTAAAAATACATTTCCCAGTCCCCAAAACAGAATATAATTTAAGTATAGCAATTATATATTTTTGTATTGTTTCCCTTATAATTTTTAAGAACCACTCTAAACAGTTTATTTGTATAAAATATAACATTAAATTTACTATAGATGTTAACAAAAATTATTTTAAATTTGAGTTTATTGAGTTTGCCTTTTTCTGTACATAACAGTAGTTTTGGCCCCAGGTTCTCCTTGAACGTTTTATTTACCACAATGGTCTCTTTACTCCGAAGTCCTTCTACAATAGAAGAGGGAGGCTAATCAGTCATGGGTCTCCATAAAAAATAGTGTGAAGAAAGGTTCTAGAGTGACCAAAAATACCAGTGAATATATTATCTTTCTGAAAAGGAAAGGACTGAGTGGTCAGCAAAGAGACCCACTTCTACACCAATGAAACACTAGGAAGTGAAATCTCAGAACAACTAGAGCTTAAGCTCAATGCCAACAAGCTATATGTGAGAGGCCAGCTGAAGACATGGCCATCAACTCAACCAGACCCAAAGCATGCTACAGGCGCTGAGGTAGCCCAGATGGTTTGCTGTGAATCCCAGCTGGGTCTAGATGATATTCTATTCTTGAACCCAAGACCCAGACTCTTCCTCCTCTCCTGAATGGCACTTCCAGTAAAAACAGCATCTGTGATCAGTGTCATTATCTCCCAAGCAGGTAGTGGTGATATCACCACTCGCACTAGCATCCAGACTCTGACACAAATGAATAAGGTCCTGAGTCAGTGAGACAGAGTAGAAGCTATGTTTGGCCATAATGACCAATTTTTGAGACCCGCATTAGCCACAAAAGGCAGATGAGACATTAAAAAAGGATGGGGTCATTAAGCTGTCTCATTGGAAACATGATTCCACTCTTTCTGATGGAAAAGCTGGCCGCCTAGCCCAGGAGACCTCCACCAAAGTCCTGACGGACTTGACGCATGGGTTCAGCGCTGTAACACCAGTCCTGAGTCAAAAATCTTGGAGGAGGACAAGAAAGATCAACTCTGTGAACCACTTGATCAGAAAGGTTCTATCCCAAGTGCCTTGTCTGGCTGGCTCTAAGGCAGCCTGCCAGCAACGATTCTTCCAAATTATCAGAACTGGTTATGCAGTATCTCTTGACAATGGTTTGACTGCTCCCTTATACCATCATAGTATTAACCTCGACAGGATTCTCTAGTTTTCTCTTTCTTAAGAAGGTCCCCTCCAAAGAGAAACTAGAGCAGTGCCTCTTTGGGAACAAAGATCCTAGAGATCCTGCTAACACACTATGCAATTAAAAGGGTCCAAGATTCTGGAAAGACAACTGCCAACAAAAAAGAATCAGAGCCAGAGGCCCACCTCTGCCTGACAGTGAAGCATCTCAAATAGGTGAAAATCAAAGGCTGGGGTTTTAAAAAGATGACTGGCTCCAAAGAAAACACTAACGAAGACCTGGAGAGTTGTCTTAATTTCACTAGAAATAATCATATGCCGACAGGAGAATGAACCATTTTCTAACTCACAGTGTGAACTCATCTTGTCAGACACTTGGAAGGTGGTTGAAGCCTGCTTTTATAATTTCACTGTACTGCACAAAAGAATATCTTTCTTATCTTTGGTCCTTAGGCATGATATCAATTTCTTCCATTTTTCTATGTGTTATATACAAATCTTTTTTTTTACTTGATATCGACAATCAAAGTGCAGTATAAACATGGGGTTGCTGAAGGTGCTGCTTTTCTACATATAAAATATCAACATCTATACATTTTCTATTAGGTTATAAAAGAGTTAATATTATTCTAAAATGTTACAGCATAATTTTAAGGCTGAGTGAGATAAAGCGTTGGTATTATTTTTTAAGAAAAAATCTACACCAATATTTTAAATATTGAAGAATTTAAATATAAATTTTATCTAATCATAAAAAAAACTTATAGCTTAGCAAATTAACTTAAAAATGAAACAATTTCTAAATGAACTTAATCATGCTGTTTATACAGCTATAAAGCAAAATTTGAAAGCTAAGCTTAGTAACAATGACAGAATAATTTGTCACCAATTAAGCTTAAAGAAAACAATTGCTCTCACTTCCAAAAACATAAACAAAAAAAAAAAAGAAAAGAAATTTCATCTGATACAGGTTTCAACTCTTATAAAAACAAAAACTCTCTGACCCAATTTGTGGTGACTGATACACAGTCCAATATTGATAAAACTGTCTTCCTGCCCCTCCCCTTGCTCTTCCCAAGAAGTGCAAGGTTTAACAATTACATAAAATGCACCAAGAGCTTCTGCTGAGGCTCAGGTACCTCGCAGTCGCTACCTTACACAACACCTGCTCCCTAGAGTCTTTAAGCATTAAGTGGCTCGGTGACGTTCTCTGTTTTAGTGGTTGGCTCAGGTTTTCTCAGCTGGGACTCCTGTCGTTTTTCATAGAACATAATGAGAAAGTCCAACAGGAACATAATACTTGCTAGAAATCCAAACACCTAAGGAAGAAAAAGGGGCAAAGGTTATGAGGAATTCTGGAATATAATTTCACATTTCCTACTTGGCTTTGAGAAGTTTCACACAAGCAAGACAATTCATCAATTTTATCTTATACACATTATCCTTAACTTTAGTGGGGGAAAAAAAATTTAAGGTCATCAAAAAGATGGAAAGTTACCGAAAAAAAAATTCCAGAATAATGGCTATTAGTTAAAGTCTCACAAAATACAAATGTCCTGTCTTATATGTGCATGTGTATGTGTGGGGTGCCAATCTATGAAACTGAGGTTATAGATGAAAAACAAAATCCTACGATATAAAACACAGGATTATTAGCAATAATCCAGCTGGACTGACCCACGGAAGAGATAAGGAACATATCTGAGTAGGCAGCTGAGCCTAGGTGAAAATGGAAAAAGTGATTAATATCAAAACAGAAATTCTATTTTGACGATATCTTTAGGTTAAATTAGCTAAAAAAATATTTTCCAGTTAATTGTCACATTCTAATGACACAACAATATGACGCCACCACCTACTTCCTCTTCCTTAAATCACTTCCTCATTGCATTCTTCTAACACATAATCGTTCTGAGAATTCTCTCAAGAGACAGAAGATCCGGTTCAAATTTAGCTTCTTCACTAGCTAAAACCCTTAAGGAAATGGGAACCAAAGATGTTCTCCGTAAAAAGTGAAAACTGATGTAGGTAACGGCTAAAATCCCTTCCAATTCCAACACTCCATCTCCATGATTTTTAACTTTTTATTTTAGTCTGCTGCAGTCTCTTGACCTTTTACACGCAGCCCCTCCACCCTAAAGATATGCATTCTACCTCATTTCACTGTAAAGCAAACTGAGCTCCAAATTCATTAATTAGCCCTGGTGTTCCCAACACATCCAACCTACATTTAATTATTAATCCCACTCCTAAAATCTAAGTATCTTCTCCCCTGATGGCATCTACCCCTTACTGGTCTGGCAAACTGAGTCAATGTGACCAGATGTCACATTGTCTGTGAAGCCAGCTTTGATCACCTCAGAGAGCTCCAGTCCACACAGGGCCCTCTATGCCATATAATCTTTCAGCTCTTTTGCGCACACATTTCACAATTTTGGGGGGGAAAATGGACTCCCTCGTTTGATTCTACAAAATTTTTCATAATTTAAATAACGCAAAAGGTAATTTCCAAGCACATTAAAAATGAGTTTTTAAACTACCGGTCACTCTTAAATATATTCAATGAAATCTAAATACTGTAACAATCTAATATATCATCTAATTAAAACACATAAATAAGCTCTTCTTTAATAGCTAAGAATTTTATGCCACGCTTTTCCCCTCTCTGATCTCAACTTTTCCTCAACTTCCATTTCACTTTCTCCACAGGATTTTATAGTAACATATTTGTATACTCAAAAATGTTTTCATCCTCCTTTCATACTCCTCTGCAACAAAAATATGTATATAAACTGAAATTAATCATAAGACTCTACTGAAACTTTTTCTCTTCAATTGGTTCGTGTATCCATGGATAAATATTACTCATTGCTAGAATGAGTCGCAATTCAGCATTAATTTTCTTTTTATGTTTTGTTTTTACACATGAGTGCTAAGAAACCATGAACGGGTAGATATATTACAGCCATGCAATTCTTGAACTCCTTTCAAGTTGTTCTAGCATAAAAAGTAGTTTTAATGATCTATTAGCTGACAACACAATTAATTACAACTGCAATTTTGTCATGAACAAAGTAGCAACTGAAAACCAGCAGACTTGCAAGAGAATTTGTTATCCAGTTGTTAGTAGTTCACATTCACAACACTGGTACCAATTCAGGTCTATGACCCTTGATTTGAAATTCTGAAATCCAAAAAAGCTATAAAAAACTCAGCTTTCATAATTTATTGGCTCAAAATTGAGCTGAGGCAGAACTATCCCTTTTACTGTGAATATTCATATGCTTCAGAAATAGTAATATTCTGGAATACAGGACGCTGCCCAGGCCCTCTGCAAGTATTGTGTAATGAATTAGATGCACAGTATTACCTTTCTAAAATCCAAAATATTCTGAATTCTAAAAAAAAATCTGCCTCCCCAAGGATTGCAGATAAAAACGTTTACTTATCTATTTATTAGGCTCCACTTTTAGATCATTTCTTCTGAGTATTCTCTACACCTAGAACAGTACCTGGCATGTAGGTATGTTTTTGTTGAAAAGAAAAGTAGAGAAATATAATAAAGTCAATTCTATGAAATTCTCTAGCAATAACATGCTCATATGTGGAGTAAATAGGTTTTTGTGAACAAAACTCAAATTCTAAAGACAGGTTCTAGGTTTCAAGGCCATGATATTTAAATCTATCATTATTCGCTTTTAGATCTTCTATTCAAAATTACACTAATAATGGGAGACCATCTAGGAATACCAGGTGCTGTAGGCGTAAAAAAATAAAAATAAACAAATAATAAAGAAAATTACACTAAAAAATAAGTTAAAAGACAAACTACTCTCCCATATTGTATAACTTGTCAAGTACTTTCCAGATTCCATATTTCTAATGAAACAAAAATAAGCAAGGATAAAAATACGAGGTACTTACAGTTGCAGCAAATTCAGCTGAAGTCCTGTCATGTGTGGAAACGAAAATGATGGACGCCAACAAAAACAAAAGTCCTATCCCCACAGTAATATAAAAATCCTATAAATATACATAAAACACATAAGGAATACAGTATGGTTAGGTTGATGGAAACACATTTTAGTTTTTTACTTTTCAAAAACTTTAGTGTTGTACCTTTTCCTTCACACAACCCAAGTTTATATACTTTGACTTCTAATTTTTCAAAAAGCCAGGCATTCAATTAATACCCTGTAAAGGAACCCTATCCACACTTTGGACAGGGGATATTCAGAGAGTACAACACACAATAATGTACACAGTGAAAATGGTTTTTAAATCACTGAAACAAACATTAAAGCTTTACTTACAATGTTAGGTGAAAAGAAGAATATAGAGTCTCTAATTACAACTATTTTAAATTTGAAAAATTACTTATTAATAGAAACAAAAGACCCTAAAGAAATATAATAAAATATTCACAAAAAAACATTTAAGGATAAAATGACTGATTTATTTCTTTTGTTTCCAGTACTTTTAAATCGGTATCTACTCAAAAATAACTTTTTCAATGATAAAGTTTGATGTAATAAATGTTTCACATTTTGTTTATAGTTAGACCTTTACGCTAAACTGGAAAATCTTGCCAAAAAGATCAGTGTTCTTAAAAACTACTGATGCAGCATTAAAGTAAAAACTAAAAATATGCTTATGGATACTGATACTGTTTTGCTGTTGAGAGATAGGAAATCAAAAAATGGTTTCAAAACTTAATATTTCAAACATCAATTTACACATTCAAACTACAAATCAATCAGTTTAGACACTGGTGAACTTTTCCCTTGTCCAAATCTTCAAATCTTCACATACTTATCTGTAAAGGGTCATGAACACCTTTCAAAGATTATAGTAAACAAAAATTCTAAGGTATTCCCTCCGCATCCTCTTTTTAATATGTATTTCATAAAATGAATGAGCTCTGTTGCTGTCATTGTTATAGAGAGACTCCTGTGGTGACGTCTGCCATGACAGGATGGAGAGTTGCTAGGGCACTGGTTCCAGTTAAGATTTCGCTTAAGCTGCGTGACCGAATGCGCAGAGTGAGGGCTTTCCTGGGGTCAAATCTGTTTACTTTTACCCTAGCTGTAGAACTTTGGACAAGTTACTCAACCACCATGAACCTAAGTTTCCTCAACAGAAAAATGCAGCATTGAGGTGTGAGGATTCTAAACGCATAAATAAGCTCTAAATCATAGCACATTCAGTGCCTGGCACACGGACAGCAGATATTATCAGGTAAGATGAAAGAATGGTCATATATTGGCCTTACCAAGAACTGCGTATATGAGCTCATCAAAGATTTGATGGATCTGTTTTTCAAAGTGATCTTTTTAACTGTTTGGTATCAACTTTAAAAATGTTTTAAACCCAATAATTATTTTGGGTTTATTTTAAATAATTATTTTAAAAGGAAGTAATAGATTCCTGCAGCATAAAATTTAAGAAGTACAAAAAGGTTCATAGAAAAAAATAAATATCTTAGGTGTATAATCAATGACTCAATTCTTGCTTTCATTAATTAAAAACAAAAACATAATCTTACTGCTTTGTATTTATCCTATTATTTCTTGTTCTTAATAGCTAAAAATTTATCCTAATTTTTTTTTTTCACTTTTTATAAACTCCTCTCTTTCTTCTAATTGAAGTGACATGTATTTGACTTTTGGTTGGTTGATAGATGATGCTACACCAGGTTATTTCCTTCCTCTGTCCCTAGAATGTCACAGACATGCTTCTATCATAGCTGATTTATCCTAATTTTTACCTTTTCCCTCAGAGATGTGAATTCTTTTAATGTCAACTCTGACATGTACAATTCTTCACAAACCACTACTGATAATTCGAATGCTACTGAAAAAGTCAATTACTCAATTCTTTCTTCCTTAAATGCAGCACCTATGTGAATAAGCTCACATGTCATCTCACAAATCCATACTTTATTCAAATAAAAGTTCAGGGTCAGCACACTAAGTCTTTAGAAAGTTATGCATCTCTAATAAATGCCTTCTTAATTCACTTATAGACAACTATTTTCATAATAAAATCAAAACAAAATAGGTAGAATTACATGCTGTTATTTATAAACTCCAGAAATACAGCACATTAATTCATTACTTTTACCTCTCGTGTCTAGCATAATGACTGGCATATAATAGGTACACAATGAATAACTGTAGAACCAATGAGTGACACTCAAATTGAGAAATCAAAAGTGATAAAACCCCAGTTTTTAAAAAAATATATCTAATGTGAATTAGATTAAACCACCAGTAATTGTAAACTATGGGTTATATTTGTTGCTTTCATTCTAATTTCACTTTCTCCTTCTATCATTCCATTTGGCAGGGAAAACAGTTGCTTAAAGGCAGAATTGAAACAACTCTTATCACATTACTGAGTTTGGAAAGTGTTACTACTTTGAATAACAATACTATACCAGAGTCCAAAACAGCTACATTCTTGTTATAAGGATTATATTTTTTCATGCTTACCGATGACTTCACTTTGACGGCATCGACTCTGTCATAAACTGGAGTGCAGTACACAATCAGTATAAGGAGACTCAGCAGAAAGGCACTGCAACTTACAAATTCAAAAAAGTAAAGTCCTCCACACAAAGTGCATTGTGATACAACTTCTTCACAGATAAAGGCCAGCAGAGACAGCACCTACAAAAGAAACAAAAGATTTTACCAAGTGTTTTTCGGAGAAACCTACGGTAGTCAGAAAACACTATCTGTTCACTCAAATACTTATAAGGTGGAGACTATGGTAAACAAGATTACTAAATGGCTGATCAACACTGAACTTACAGTCTGGTTGCCTTGAAGGGAGTATAGGTATGCAAATAATTAATAACTACCATGCGCTATAGAATAGGGGGGGAACAGGGTGTTGTTATAAAAGCACACAAGAGAGGCATTCAACCCGGGGGTCAAGAAAGGCTTCCTGAAGGAAAGCTGAGATCTGAAAGATAGTAGAGTCAGGGTTAAAGAAAGCGAAAGAAGTTCTAGGCAGAGAAGGAGTACATATAAAGACCTAGAGGTAAGAGAGCATGGCACCCTTCTACTCCAACGCACACCCATACGTCCTACTACCCACGAATGAACTGTGGAAGCAACTTGAGTCACCATGGCTGAAGTTTTCAGTTTGTGAAAGGGGATGGCAGCACGGAAAAGATTAAATGAGACTAGAGAGGTAAGCAGAGGCCAGATCTAAATGTCCTCTTTAACTAGTTTAAGAAATCTGGACTTTAAGGGTTTTAAAGCAAAGGGTGACATGATCGGGTTTATGCTTTTAGTAGTTCTCGACTGGCTACAATATAGAGAAAGGGCTGGAGGAAGGGCAAAACTTGGGGCAGATATCCAGTTGGGAAGCTGATTTAGGAAATATCAGGGGGAAAGAAGAGTGCCCCGGGTGGGTAGCAGTAGTCATGGAGAAGAGTGGCTAATCAGGGAAAGATTCGGTGGAAGCCCTTACCATACAGGATGAATCTGAACAGAGTAGGAAACAAGACATATGTATTTTAAGCATTTTAACTTCGTATAGAAATGCACACTTATTCACCAGTCATTTGAAGCAGGCCTTTGAGTCTGAGCCTACCGACTGGAATTCCACATCATGTTTTCTGCATTAATCACTTTCGTCATTTCTGACTACCACGTCCAGACTTATGTTATGTTATTTGAAGTGGCAAAAGATCTTGGACAGAATACAGAACCCTTCTAGAGCCGGACTAGTTTTACTAGTCTTTCACAGTTGTCTTGCTCTTACTTAATTCCATAAGCACCTGGTTTTAGTAACTTTAGTAACTTATTTTTTGATCTTTCCAAAGCATTCAATTTAGTTTTCTCAGAAACAATTCTTTTTCACCCTCAATTTTAGTCTGTGTAATATTTAACGAAATGTTTAATTAATATAAACCAGTCTTGGAATAACACAAGTCAACTGACAGCAGAGGTAGGAGTGAAGAGAGCTCCAGAGGGGTTTACTTGGCCGTGGCTGTCCGTGATAAAACAGGTGTGGGTCAAAATGCTTTTTTTTTTGTACTGAATGGGGAATAGTTAACTACTCTGGCTGTTGATTCAGCAACTCAATTAAGTGCAAGTGAGTTTTAAAGTGCTCTCACTGCAGAAATAAGAGGGGATTTTTTTCCCCTTCTTTTTAAGAGATGAGGGTGTCGGGGAGAGAATAAATTCAGTTTTAAATATGCTGTGTATGGGCGGTCTGTGGAAGAGTTAGGTGGAGCTGTCTATCAGGCAAATGAGTGTGTGTGGGCTTGGCAGCTCAGGGGAGAGGTCTGAGGTGGAGATAAAGATGTGGCAGTCGGCTGTGAGATCACCCAGAATGAGGAAAGTCTGCCTTGTGCAGAACTCCGAGGAACCCCAAGATTTAAGGAGACACCAGCAAAGGACAATTAGGAGCAGCAGTCCATGCGGGAGTAGACCAAGAAAAAAGTATTTCTACGAAGAGAAAGTAATCAAAGAGTACTAAATGCTACTTAGGTGCTTAGGGGTCAGGAAAGAACCATACTGAAACACTTAATTAGAGCTGTAAGAAGGTTGCTGGTGACATAGGCAAAAACAATTTCAGTGTAGTCAGCTAGATTACAGTACTGCATATTGGGAAGTGAAATAGAGACAGCACAGGCAAGAAGTGTACTTTCAAAAGAGCAGCCAGATAGGGCAGCAGTGGATGAGGTCAAAGGGAAGGGAATTTCAAGCTGGAAGAGATCTGCTTGTGTTAAAATACTTAGGCAGAAACCAGTAAGATTAGGTGGGTCTAAAGACAGGAAGAAATGAGGTTCTCTAAAGGCAGGATTCAGAGCTCAGGTCTGAGGCTAACTCTTCTCAAGAAACAGGAGGGAAGAGAATGAAGAGAGTTTCACTTGGGCAGTTTGTGTAGGTTTTGTGGAATCGGAGGGAGTTTCCTTCTGAGAGTTAAAACGATCAAAATAACTGATGACCCAAGTCAAAGCCTATCGGGAAATGCCATCTGAATCTGACCCAAGGCAGGCCAGTAGAAGCAACCAGATATATTCAGAGCAACAAGACTGATACAAAACTGACAGACACATTTCATAGTGTATAATGAAAATTTTATCCTACGAAACATTTTCATACAAAAGAGGTCAATGGTACAGCTGCT